AAGCTAAGCTAAAGCTAAGCTAAAGCTAAGCTAAAGCGAAGCTAAAGCTAAGCTAAAGCTAAGCTAAAGCTAAGCTAAAGCTAAGCTAAAGCTAAGCTAAAGCTAAGCTAAAGCTAAACTAAAGCTAAGCTAAAGCCAAGCTACAGCTGAGCTAAAGCTAAGCTAAAGCTAAGCTAAAGCAAAGCTAAAGCTAAAGCTAAAGCTAAGCTAAAGCTAAAGCTAAGGCTAAAGCTCCCAGGGGACTGGGGGAACCGCGGGGCGGGGACTGGGGGAACCGCCCGGGGCGGTTAGCATTGCCCGGCCCTTTAAGCAAAGAGAGTAAGAACCCTTCTAGGCAGAGCCTAGGTAGGGAAAAAGGGTCCAAACGAACATCTCGAGCCCTCGGCCCCGAGAGCCTCCCAAGAAGCCCCGAGAGGCCCCCAAGAATCCCCCAAGAATCCCGAGGAGGCTTCCAACAGGGCCCCACGAAACTTCCAAGATGCCCCCACGAGGCCTCCACGAGGCCCCCCAAAGAGCCGAATTCATTGGCTTTTCAAAAGGGTTCGAAGGGTTTTGGCGTTCTCGCCTTTACTGCTTTCCGGCGCTCGAAGGCGGCCCAAGAGGCCTTCAAAATCGCTCCAACACTGCCCAAGAGGCCCTCCAGAGCGTCCCAACCCACCTCAGGAGTTTCCCCAAAGCACCCCAGAGGCTTTCAAGGCGGCCCCAGAGGCCCCCAAACGGCGGTCCCAGATACCTCCAGGACGCCCCAATGGACCTCGACGAGCCCAAAATGTGCCCAAGGGAGGGAACCCAAGCTGCTATTTCGAGCCCTCCGCTCAAAGATTACCTCCGAGGCCCCCAACAGGCCCCCAGAAGGCCCCAGGAGGTCCAGAAAAGTATTCAAACTAGCCCCCAAGAGGCCCCAAGGCCACAGGGAAACCCCCATGAGACTTCAAAGAGGCCCCCAACCGGGCTCGAAAGACTTCCAAAGAGACCCCAAGATACGCCTATGAGGCCTCTGGCCCCAAACCCAGGCATATTACCTGATCGACCCCAGACCGCCAACAAGGTCTCTCCAGAGAGCCCCGACTCGCCCGTCATACGGTTTCGAGGAATCTCCGAAGGCCCCGAGAGGCATGCATGCATGTGTGTGCTGATGTATGAGTTGGGCGTCCCAAGAGCGTTGCAAGAGGGCCCCCCAGAGGGCCCGGGGAGGCAGAAATATCGCCTGGTGGCTCCGATTCTTGTGGCCCGAGTGCTGTGCCTGCTACGTGGCGGTGGTCACGTGGCTCTAAAAATTGCCACGTCTACCCTGCCAGAACGGCAGTTCTGGCTGAAACGTCCCAACAAGGTGGGCGCGAAAGGGATCCTGCAGTATCCCCTGGCGGTTCCGTTGGGAAGACCTTAATGCCATGCCAACAAAAATTCATGGTCACGTGGGTCTTCAGTGAGACACGTCAACCCCCACCAGGCTGGTCATTCTGCTTGAGACGTCCCCGCAATCTGGGCGCGAGCGGGCATGTGCAATACCCCATGGGAGGCTCCCTTTGGGTGGCCGAGATGCCGTGTCCGTTACGTCGCGATGATGATGCTTCTCATGATGACGATGGCGATGCTGATGATGATGGTGTTGATGATGAGGATGACGATGATGATGACGAGGATGATGCTGATGATGCTCATGATGATGCTGGTGATGATGGTGACGACGATAATGAGGATGATGAGGATGATGCTGATGATGACGATGACGGTGATAATTATGTTGATGGTTATGATGATGACGCTGCTGATGATGATACCGATGACGATGATGCTGCTTGTGATGATGTTGCTGATGATGGTAATGACGACGACAATGGCCATGATGATGATGTTGATGCTGATGACGATGCTGCTGATGATGATCATCATGATACTAATGATGATGATGGTGATGATGATGATGCTGATGCTGATGCTGCTGATGATGATGATGATCTTGATGATGATCCTGATGATGATCATGATGCTGATACTGATTACGATGATGATGACGCTGATGCTGAAGATGATGATGATGATGCTGCTGATGATGATGGTGCTGATGCTGCTGCGTGATGATGATGATAATGATGATGATGATGATGGTGGTGATGATGATGATGATGATGATGATGATGATGATGATGATGATGATTATGATAATGATGATGATGATGATGATGCGCTGATGCTGAGATGATGATGATGCTGATGATGATGAGGATGATGGTGGTTGGATGGTGATGATGATGATGAAGATGATGATGATGATTATGATGATGATTTATGATGATGCTGGAATGCTGATGATGATGATGATGATAGCATGATGATGATGATGATGAATGATGATGGATGCTGATGCTGATTATTATGATGCTGATGATGATGATGATAGATTGATGATGTGATGGTATATGGTGGTGGTGGTGTTGTGGTGGTTTGGTGGTGTGGTGTGATGATGATGCTGGTGATGATGATGATGATGATGGTGGTGGTGATGATGGTGATGATGATGATGATGATGATGATGATGATGATGATGATGATGATGATGAGGAGGAGGAGGAGGAGGAGGAGGAGGAGGAGGAGGAGGATGAGGATGAGGATGAGGATGAGGATGAGGAGGAGGAGGAGGAGGACGCTCTTGTTGGGTCCTCTTCGGGACCTGTTGGATCATCTCTTAGGCCCATCTTGGCGCCATTCTTGAAGCTCTTCCTGAGCCCTCGTCTGCCTTTCTCTGGGGCCTTCGGGCCCTGTCGGGCCTTTGTTTTGAGGCCCTTCAGAGCCTCTTCGTTTTTTTGCTCGGGACACTGCCCTGGGATCCCTCGAGGCCACTTTGGGGCCATCTTCGGGTCCTCTTGGGACGCCTCTCCAGGCCCTCCTGTGCCCCTCCTGGGCCGTCTTCGGCCCCTTTCGAGCCTTTCGAGGCGCTCTGGGGGTTCGTCTTCGACTGCCCTCCGGCGTTCTCCTGGGCACTCCTTGGGGCGCTCGCGGGGTCTTCGTACAAAATTTATGTCTGGAATCGCCTCTGTTGATTCATGTACTTGTTCTCCATATTCGAACAATGTGTGGGTAACTCCAGCCGTTGTATGTGTGCGTATGCATCTGCACCATGACAAATTCATTGTAACTGGGAGCCGACGGTCAACCGTCAACCAGGTTACCGCCGGGACGCATGCGAACGGCACTATTGACGTTTTGTGTGGAGCCCCCCATGGGGCCACGAAACGTGTGAAGGGTGTGCCGAAATGGGTGGCGGGGATGCATGCGAACGGCACCATTGGGGCCTTCTGCGCAGCTGGGACACTGTCAAGGGCCGGAACTTGCTAGAACCTCAGCGCGCGAAGCGCGCGCGTGGTTCTAATTTAAAGTCTATGCCAGCCTTCATGCAACTGCGGAGTCATGGGGAACTTTCTCGCCAGAGTCTCTGTCTCCCGTTCCGCAGCCTATTTTGCGATTCAGTTTGAGTCCGCCAGGGATACTGAACTGCACTTAGCGTTTGCGTTTGAGGAAAGTCCTATTCAAAGAAGGCCTGCCCGGCTTCTTAGGCCTTCGGAGAAGGCCCTTGCCTTCTCAGAAGCTCTTCCGCCGTCTCAAAAGGCCGCCACCTCGCGCCACCCTCGTGTGGGCGCCGCCAAGTCAGGTGTGTGTGTGTGTATGTGTGTATGTGTGAAGGTTCGGAGGCCCACCTGCTTCCGTGGTTCACCGAGCGCGTTCCGCTACTCGCAAAATGCCTATTCGCAAACGTTAGAGAAAAACAATTTTTTGCCCCAACGTGATGGATCGTGCATCCCCCACGGCGCGTCCAGGCCATTTGCGAGTAGCTACTTTGCGAGTAGTGGAACGCGCTTGTCTAGTGGTGGAAAATTGCGACGGACGTTCGCTGTTCGTTTTCGGTCCCCGGGGGCCCTCGCCAGGCCCTGGGCCGGTCAAACAACGGCTCGGGATGCAACGCTGGTCGCGGGGAAAAGGTCCAGACCTCCGGGGTCCGCGTTGCGCGGTGAGAACGTGGCGACGTCGGAGTTCTGGGGGAGGTGCAGGGGCTGCGTCGGGGGGGGGACATGCTCGTTGGGGAATGCATCGGCCTCCCCCCACCTATCGCCCACTGACCGCCGATGGGGGCCGCCCACCCCGCCCATGAGCCTGCGGTTCCGCTGTCGGGGGCCTGCCAGGTCGATGTTTCCTCCCCCCGGAGCTGGCCTCCCCCTGTCGTTGCCCCTCAGGAGCGGCCCTGCGTCAGCGTACGGGACGCGGACGCCGTCGACATCCGAGGAAGAAACAAGCCACAAACAGAAGCTTTCGAAGCTCCGCACTAACTTCTTGTGATCATTTTCTTCTTCATTGTTTTGCCGATCGGCGCGGGCTCTCGCACCCCCGCCTCCCCCCCCTGGAGTAGATCTTGGCTGTTTTTGGCGCCTGTTTCGAGCAGGTGGAATCTCCCCCGTAGGTAGGACGCACTGTTGCAAATAGTCGCATGAAGCAGAGGTCCAGAGCCGGACCCCCCCTCCCCCCCCTTCCGCCCAATGTCGAAACGCCGAACAAGAAAACGTCCACCTTGGGGTCTACGCTGGACCCCCCCTGGCGGCGCCTCCAGGGATCCAGCGCCGATCCGAGAAGCCCGCGCGGAGATCCGAAGGTTTCTGCTCGTGCCTTTTTTGTGGTTCCTCTATGACGTGCAGGTCTGCGCGGCGGTGCTGTGCGAGGCTAAGTTGCCCTGGTACGCCCGTGTTGAAGCTCGACACGTAATCGTGCTCCAAACGCCTTTCCTCTTCCTCCTCTTCTTCCTCCTCCTCCTCCTCCTCCTGCTCCTCTCATCTCTCCCTCTTGTTGTCTTGTGTGTTTTGCGTCGTGCTTCTCCCCGTGTTATGTCTCATTCCCTCATGGCTGACAAGTCGCTTCTGATGCAACTTGCTTCAAGTTTCCTCGAATACCGCACTGGGGGGCGCCTCATCATCGTCATCATCGCCATCATCATCATCATCATCATCATCATCATTATCATCATCATCACCATCATCATCATCATCATCATCATCATCATCATCATCATCATCATCATCATCATCATCATCATCATCATCATCATCATCATCATCATCATCATCATACTCATCATCATCATCATCATCATCATCATCATCTCATCCCTTCTCTCCTCTTCGCTTGTCCCTTCTTCACGCACGCAGCACGCTCGTTCCTCTTCTAGGCCACAGTTCATTGCATGAGTTTGCCTATCGCAGGTCGGCTTTAGTGGTTTTCCCGATTTGCCTGGCGACCTTTTGATTCGCACAGCTGTCCAGGCCGTGTCAGGTGAAGTTTTGTGGTCGCATTCCTCTTTCCTACTCCCATGAAAAAGCCGTGCTCAAAACGCCAATGGCTGAAGACGCTGCGCGTTGGCTCGGCACGTGCTGGCCCGCCTCTTTGGCGACCGTGTCACGCCCAAGCTGCGTTTCAGTCTGCGTGTAGAGCTGCGCGTCAGCACGCTGCGGTTGGGGCTTTCGTCACAGGCTGTGCCCAGGTGGCCTCGGACCCTGGAGGATTCCCGACTCCTTCTGTAGGAGGGCGCCAGTGATCTCCATGGCCAAGACTTCTTTGGAGTTCCACCGGCTTCCAGACCCGGAAATCCGTGTCCGACGGTTCCTTGTCCAGTGCCTTCACCGTGCGGCTTGCGCGTTCTGTATCGGTGAGGCGACGCAATCTACGCATATCCACTGCTCCCTGGCCAGGCCCATCCTGAACCCATGGGGCTGTGTAAACGCCCGCCTGGCCAAGCCAGGACGGCGTGGCGTGTACACCGCTGCTGGGTTGAGAATGGGCCTGGCCAGGGAGCAGTTGACGAACCAACAACACACACCCATACCCATAGGGGGGTCGGAGAGGGCTATGGGTGCGTGTTGTCGGATGGGGGTCCCCGCTCGAACGGGAGCGCCCCTCGGGGTCCGACAACCCGCGCCCATGCCCATAGCCAGTCCTCCTCCCAACGACCCCCCTACGGGTATGGGTGTGTGCTGTTCGTTCGTCAGCAGTGCACGTGTAGAGATCTTGCCGCCCTACATTTAAGTCGGGCCTGTCCCTCTACAGGGGGAATGTTCAAACATAGTCCAAAAATAGTCCGGGGACAATTTTTTGACTATTTTTGAGCATTTTCAGGGTATTTTTGGTATTTGCATTTTTTCGTCAAAAATCGGCCTGTAGGGGGACAAGCCCGACTTAACCCTACATCGGGGCAGCTGAGGTGCGAGGAGGTGCCCTCGGCCTACGCGGCGCTGTACGCGCTCCTGGAGGCCCACGAGGGCGGCGCGGACCGCCTCGCGGCCTTTGCGAGCGGGTGCCCGGCCCTCCTCGACCCCGGGCTGCTCGGCCGCGTCGAGGAGGCGGCGGACGCGGTGGCGAGGGAGCGCTGGCGGGAGGCAAGGGGGGACCGACACCGCCGCCCTGCCCTCGTCGTCGCCTCTGTGGGCCTCCTGGGAGGCCGCCCTCGCTGCCACGGCTGGAGTCGCCTCGAAGTTCTGGGCAGGGCGCACCCCGGGAGAGGTCCAAAGGGAGAGCGGTGGGGGCGCTCGTTGAGGAATGCTCCCAGGAGGCCTCATACCCTGGCGGATCCCTCATCTAATGACGGCGGCGGTGATATCCATGGCCTCACGATTAGAGTTCCACCGGCTTCCAGACCACGGGCTCCTTATCCAAGGGTCCCTTATCCAATGCCCTCACCGTGACGGTGTTGGCATATTTTGGTGACTCACAGGAGCGAGGCCGGGAGGCCGGCGCTGCCTGCCGGGAGCTGCTGCTGAAGTTCCAGTCCAACGCGTGGCGCGCGGACGGCAGCATGTGCCTCTACGAGACGGGCTGTCGCCTGAACCACTCGTGCCGCCCCAACGCCAGGTGCTCGTTCCGCGGGGCGCGCCTGGATCGGCGGTTCAAAGGCGGGGCCCTGAGGGGTGGGGCCTTCGGGGCGAGGTGCCTCAAACCACGCAGATCTGGCCTGGGATCCCTTCCTGTCCTCGGGTCCCCATCCCTCGGGGCCCCACTCCTTGTGCCGCCGAGTGGACGTGAGGGCCGCGCGCAGCGTCGGGGCGGGCGAGGAGCTGCTCCCCAGCTACCTGCACGAGGAGAAGCTGGCGCTGCCGCTGGCGGAGCGGCGGCGTGCGCTGGCGGCCAGCTGGGGCTTCGCCTGCGGCTGCGCCCGCTGCGCGGAGGAGCAGGAGGCGGCCGAGGCCGAGGCGGCCGCGGACGAGGCGGCGGCGGCCGCCAGGGGTAGCGGCGAGCGCCTGCGCGGCTAGGCCGCCCCGCCGGCCCCGCTGGGCACCGCCGCCGGCGAGCCGGCGGTCGGCGAGTCCTGCGCGTGCCGGCGGCCTCGCATAATAGAAGCGCTCTCTCCCCCGGCGCCGCTGCTGCTGCCCCTCCCCTCCTGCTTCCTCGCCCCCCTCGTGCTGCAGCGCCGCGACTCCAGCACGGCCTCGGGCGGCTCGGCGCACATCCGGGCGCCCTGCGCCGCGCGGCGCGGCGCTGCAGCGGTGGCACCGAGCTCGGCGGCCTCGCGCGCGTGCCGCGAGCTGGCTGCTCGCTCGCCTGGTGGGCCGCCCTGGTCGGACGGGACTAGGACGAGGACAAGTCCGTTCCAGAACGTTCCAGCACGCTCTCGGAGCGTTCTGGAACGCTCGGAGAAGGCTGCGGCGCCCCAGAACACTCCAGAGCCGCCGGGTATCAGAGATTCTCGATTTATCTTCACCCGAGTTTATCCTCGTCCTGGCTTCGTCTTTAGGGGAACAACAAGTGGCATAAACATAAAAACTCGGAGGTCCGCGCGGATTTCTCGGATCGGCGCTGGACCCCCCTCCCTGTCGCGCTCCGCGCGCCAGGGGCGGCGCCGGAGGCGCCGCCAGGGGGCCCCAGCGCCGATCCGAGAAATCCGCGCGGACCTCCCAGTTTTTATGATTATGCCACTTGTTGTTCCCCTAGTCTTACCCGGAGGCGGGCAGCTTCCCGCACCCGCCCGCGGCCACCGCTCGGCTGCCATGGCTCTGCAGCTGGCGCGGCCGGAGGCAGCGGGGCCAGGCCGCGCGGAGCGCCGCGAGGCGCGCGCACGCGCGAGTGCGGGGGGATGTCGTTGCCGCGCACGGCCCTGGAGCCAGAATGGCTTGAGCCAGAGCGGCTACGGATCGCTTCCTCCTCCGCCTCCTCCTCCTCCGCCTCCTCCGCCTCCTCCTCCTCCTCCTCCTCCTCCTCCGCCTCCGCCGCCTCCTCCTCCTCCTCCTCCTCCTCCTCCTCCTCCTCCTCCTCCTCCTCCTCCTCCGCACACCCGCGCAGGCCGAGCTCGCCCAGCCCGCGCCTACAGTACCGTCCCGACGCCTCACCCCACCTCCCAAGATGAGGCCCCGCGCCGGGTGGGCGGGGGGGGCCTGCGCGGTTCCCCCGAGCGTTGACCATGACAAGCTCCGACGGGAGTGCACCGCCAGCCGCAGCTGCCCCGCCAGCCCAGGCCCCTCGGGGCGACTGGGGGGCCGAGAGGCTCGTGCGTGCAAGCACGCGCCCCTCTCGGGGGCAGTGGCCCGCTGACCGAGGGTGCCTTGGCCCGCGGGCCCTTCGGGGTGGAGGCGCTCGCGGCGGGGCGGTCACGGCCCAGCGCGGAGCTCCTCTTGTTTCGACGCTTCAGTTTGATCGTTGCCCGTCCTCCCTCTGCTCCCTCCTTTCCCTCCTCCGTCCTCCCTCCCATTTGCGTTCTCTCCTCCACCTTGCCCTCTGTTCCCTCGGCTCTCTTTCTTTTCCTCCTCATTCCCTCTTCCTCTTCCCTGCTCATCCTCCCTCCTCCCTTTCTCTTCCTATCTCCGCCTCCGTCCGTCCTCCTCCCTGCGTCCCCTCAATCGCTGTATTCATTCGTAGATTTGTGTACATAGTTTATGCATGTATGTTTGATTGTAGCTATCTGTCTGTAGATGATAGATACATGTCTGCTATTACGATGCACATATGTCGGTAACAGTCTCTCCCTCTATATCTCTCACTCACTCTTCCCCGATCTCTCTCTGTCTCTCCCCCTCCTTCCCTCCTCCCTACCCCCTCCTGCCTGCGCTATTGTGTTTCTTCCTATTCCTCTCCTTCCTTTCTTCCGTCCCTCCGTCCCCGTCCTTTCTCCCTGCTTCCCATGCTCCTTCTCATCTTCTATCTCCTCCATGCCCTTCCTCTCTCCTTCCCCATTTGTCGTCTGTCCTCTCTCCAGCTGCTCCTCCCTCCTATCCTTCCTCTCCCTCCCTCTCCCTTCTTCTTAGCCTCCACAAGTGCCGTGATCGGAGCGCCGACGACCTCTACGTGGGACATGTCTGATTTCTGATGACCTCCGTGAAGCGCCAGCCGGGCGAGTCCCTCCATTTCCTTCCTCGCTTCTCCTTGCCTCCTCTCCCCACCCCTCCCTCCCCTCCCCTCCCCTCCCTCTTTGCCTCCCCTCCCCTCCCTCCGCTCCCATCCCTCCCCTACCCTCCCCCTTCGCCTCCCCTCCCCTTCCTTCCTCGCTTCTCCCTACCCCTCCTCCCCAACCCTCTATCTCCTCCCCTCCCTCTTCTCCTCACCTCCCATCCCTCTTCGCCTCCCCTCCCTCCTCGCCTCCCCTCCTCCTCGCCTCCCCTCCCCTCCCTCTTTTCCTCCCCTCCCCTCCCTCTTCGCCTCCCCTCCCTCCTCGCCTCCCCTCCCTCCTCGCCTCGCCTCCCCTCTCCCTTCGCCTCGCCCTGCCCTCTCCCCGCCTCGCCCTGCCGTCTCCCCTGCTCGCCCCGCAGGCGGAGCTGCTGCGGTGCCGGGACGCAGAGGCGCCGCCTCGGGAGACCGCGGCACGGAGAGGGCACGCTGCAAAAGGGGCTTGAAGGAGGAGGAGGAGGAGGAGGAGGAGGAGGAGGAGGAGGAGGAGGAGGAGGAGGAGGAGGAGGAGGAGGAGGAGGAGGAGGA